ATAAGTTTTAGTAAGATCATTAGAAGCAAAATAAGTCCAGATAGGATGAACTAAATTAACTTCAGTCATATTAAATTTATATTATATAAATATTTAATTTAATAAAGAAATAGTTATGTAAATAAAAATCTAATTAGTGAATAAATACTGATTAAATAAATATATATTTTTCAAATAAAAAACAAACTAAAATAAGAATAAATAAAAAAAATGATTGAATAATTTTACTATGTTGTAAAGAATGATATATAACTAATTTTAAAATTTTCTGAATAAGTTGATCAAGTGATAAATTTTTTGTATCAATAATCGTAGAAATTTGTTATGCTTGTTGAATTAAATCATATGACTTAAAATCACGTTGTATCAAATCATCAAAAATTGATGTAAAATCATTTTCATATTCTATCTGATTCATTCTACAAAATATTCGAGTTTCAATATCAGCATCGAGTACAATTTTTATTTCTGTATCAGGAAGAATCTTAATTGTCACATCACATCCAATTACAACAAATCCTTTTTCATTAACTAATTGATTAATTTTAGTATTAATTACTTCTCTAACACTATCATTCTTTGCTATTTCTGCTGCATGAGTTCCAATTTGTAAATATTCTTTAACACTACGTTGATTAATTTTTTTTAAATCATCAATAGTAATTTCAGATTTAATTATTTTATCACTTAAATTATCCATATAGTGGTTATAATATGTTGCTGCAAAATAGCAATAAAACAAGCCAGTATCAATAAATTTGTATTTTAAAAGTTTTGCAAGTTCACTACCAATCGATGTTTTTTCTGTTGCTACTTGACCATCAGTTGCAATATTAATTGGTTCATTTAAAAGATTCAACATCTTGTTATGTAATTAAAATTCTAGTTTGTCATTAAAATGACTAACTAAATAATTTATTCTTCTTTCTCTTCAATAGTATAAATATTACTATTTTTAAATACATATGTAATATACTTTAATAATAATAACATTATACTCAAAGAATCAACCTTTTGAATTTTTGAATTTTTAAATAATGTACATTTATCCAATAAATAATTTTTATGTCTTTCGCATATGATTAACTCTTCCTGATGATCACTTGTACCAAATTTTCTCTAAACATAATTACTCTTTTCTCAATTTTTTATTAAGTAAACCTACTTTGGCTGCCTAAGTAAAATTGTTCCTAACAGAATTTTACATATAGGCGACCCAGTTCTATATCCTTAAAGGCTTTTATTACTGGGATATAACTAAACCTTGTAATTTTCTTCTTTCTGCAAAAACTCAAAAGTTTATTAAGTAAATTATAGTTGTTATATAGAATAAACTTGTTCAGCTCATTCTTGCTATTATTTTGATATATTATATATTATAAATAGTTTAAAACTGATAATTATATAGTTAAAATACTTTAAAACTCTCTTGGAAACTATATTTTATTTTTGTAAAAAATTTTTTCTACTTTTTGAGGGAATTCTGGTCCTCTAGAATGCCCCAAACCTGCAGATCTAAATTACTAATCAATATTATTAATCTATTTATATAAATCTAATTTTGTTTTATCTATTTTTAATTTTTATTAATTTAGTCTTAACTAAATTACACAACTCTTGTTATATGGTAATCACATCGATCACTTAGGTGTCACATTAGGTGTTGCTTTAAACATCATATCCCTTATTTGGCACATCCCTTATTTGTCACATCCTCTTAGTCATCATACCCCTTATTTGTCATACCCCAATTTTAAAAATTGACCCCAAAAATGCCTACTTTAACTGACTCTCAGGAACCAGATTTCTATGATATTGACTACTATTATTCTAAATATAAAAACAGATATAGAGTTGGACTCCAAGAAAATAAACCTCAAACATTACATATCTTATCAGTCTCTGCTAAACCTGATATTTGTGATGAGAAAAAACAACATCACTACTTTAAAGTTCTTCTTCAATCTGCTATCACAACCTGCCTTTGTGACAAGTTTCATACAAGCTTTATCTCCAAACACTATAAAATTACTCATCCAATAACAATTGGTCAACCTTTAAATTTAACTTAAACCCAAATTAGAACTACTATCTTTGCACAAAGCTTTAAACGATCAAATGAACTACCTATTTCTCCAATTTCTAAATTAGTAGACCAAACACAACCTTTAATTTCTTCTTCTTCTTCCTCCTTAACATGTCTTCTTTTTCTAAACTTCTAAACAAATTTAGCTTCTACAGCTATAATTGCTCACTTCCAATACTATTATACTTGTTTTCTTTGTAAAGTCAAAAACATTTAATGTGTTTTTATAGATAACCAACATAATCATGCACTAGACTATACAGTAGCTTGTATTATCAAAGGTTTTCTAATTCACTGATCCTGCATATCCAACATTCCAAATATTGAACTTAAACCCTTTTATCGAACTCTATTAAATTCAGATCACAAAAAAATTGTTATCCTTTATAGACTTAGTACTATGTCAGCAAAAGACAAAATTCAACTTTATAA